ACTCACAGAGTCTCACCAAAAGGGGGTGTGATAACAAGGGGGTGTGATAACAAGGGGGTGTGATACCGTCGCCCGTGTGATGGAAGCGCGCTCACAGGACCCGGCTTACAGGGGGTGTGATAACAAGGGGGTGTGATAACTTCGCCCGTGTGATGATACGCGCTCACAGGACCCGGCCTGACGGGGGGGTGATAATGTCGCCCGTGTTGTTGCAGTGCGCCCACAAGACCCTACCTACGGGGGTGTGACAATAATGTCGCTCGAGTGATGCGGTGCGCTTACAGGAGGCACCCACGTACAAAGGGCGTCAAGGGGTGTAAAACAGGTGTGATAGCTAGGATGGCTCACACCACTCCATCACGTACATGCTTTCCCACGTGCATTTTCGCAGTATCCTTTGGAAATTCTTCGCATAGGTACACAACGAAGACGTAGAACCGATACCTCATAGCGGTTGTGCCAATGTTGTGTGCGACAAAACGACAGCACACAGGTATCTGGACGACGCAACCACTTGCAAGACTTGCGTTCACCACTCAAGCTGGAACCACATAGGACGCAAGCAAGTGCCAGCTACATATCAACCAAAGCTAGAAACCAAGAGGACAAGCGACTACCGAAACATATGAAACCCAGGATAAATTGGCTCGAATAGCAGCTTTGGTTGACTTGACCATGGCATGCAACTACGGTAGGTAGATACCAGACAAGACACCTCAGTCTATGCAAACAACGTCCGCCCCCGGCAAGTCTGCCATGACCTCAACCTCCGAGTCATCGTTGCCTTCGCCATCTCCCGAGCTGTCATCGTCGTCGATTTCCAACACCTCCAACAAGTCGGCCATCGTCTCCCCCTCCTCCGATGGGCCAGCCTCCTCCACGCCGGCAGCGGCCGCGTCGCCGTCTGCACGAAGTGGTTTCCCTTGGGCGTTGGAGTTGAGCTCCTTGTTGGCCCACGCCTCGTCCTCAGATCCGTCGAAGGCAAGGGTCATGCCAGCCTTCCTCCAGCTCGAACGGATGCTCTCAGGGTCCACTTCATCCCACGCTTTCTTCACCCACTGCGCGAGCAATCCCCTCGATGGGGGATCCGGGTAGCCGCGGTCGTTGCGCACGGCGTCGGTGGAGGCCATGTGGTCATCGTAGAGCCTGGACATGTTGGACTTGAACAGCTTGTTCATAAGTCCATCGCAAGGCTGGATCTTGGGCGTTAGGCCTCCGGGGACAAAAAACAGCGTCGTGTTGGACTTGTCCATCGCTCCCTTGCACAGGGCTGT